CTACCATGTAACACACAAGTATATATCCTATTTTTTCCTTTGTTTTTCAACTTTGTTTAGTGTTCTTTGCCAGAAAGAAATGTTAAATTTCTTCATAGTCAAATTTGTCAGCCACAGCTGCTAGGCTTAGAAAGAATTTCCCCATGGACAATTTTCTCCCATGAAAATATAAGTGATATGTTATCCAAACAACTGGCTAAAATTCTAACAGGCTATAGAAGAAAGGGACTTTTCTAGGCTGCCTTTAGGGATGTAAATTGGGACAGCTTTCTGAAAGACTGTGTTAACGTGCCTTAAAATTTAGGAACACGTATATTTTCTGGCTTAATATTCCCCTTCCAAGAATTGTTCTTCCAACTATCACAATGCAGGTGCAAAGGTGCTCAAGACAATACTACGAAAACTCAATGTTTCTTGATTGGGGGAGGGAAGGCTAGTTATTAACCAAGTTGCTTTCATAAAATAGATTTCAGCCTTTTAAAATTATGACATGAACATATCCATATGTAATGGGAAGGGAAAATACCTCCATAACAGATCAAGAGCAAAAAGTAGCTTATGTAACACAGAACATATAATACAGCAGCCCTGACATGAATGTGCATCTGTACACACAACCTACACAGGGAGAAGAGTGAAAGGCTCACAAGTCTGTCCAGGTCTGGGGAGGTGCTTTGCTTCCCATACGTCTTCTATAATGCTTAGCATTTCTATAATGAGTATTTTTGTGGTCAAGAAAAACCAAAATATTTTTACTTTTAGGAAAAAAGCATCAAAGATCAGAATATACATAAAGGAAGGATGTTCTTTCCCAGACTGGTCTGTTGTTTAGTTCATAGAAATTGAGGTTTCATTTCTGTATAAACTCATCAATGGAGAACTTCTGTGTGGAGATTCCTAACTGGGTCTGTGGCAGGGAGGGCAGGGCTTGGGCTGTGTTTGCTGTGAGGAAGGGTCTGAGTCCCTGGTACGAGCTGGCAGCCAAGGTTGCTTTGGCTCTGGCAAATGCGACTCAGGTCACTTTCTCTTACATGACCAGGGCTCACAAGTAAGGAAAGGGAAGGACATTAGAAACAAAAAGGGAAACGGAAGAGGGAGGCTCACAGAGTCTTTAATTAGGGAGATGAGAGTGCAGGGGTTCATAGCTGTGGGCCTCACGCCAGGTGCACCCACTGCCATGGCGGGTCCCCTGTCTCAGTGATGCACACGAGATAGGCTCAGAGGGTGCAGGCTCACCGGAGCTAAAACAGAAACTACAAACCCATAGCTACAGGTCTGTTTCTAAGGAGACTGGAGGTGGTTATTAAGGCCTGTTGCTATCCAAGTGGAGTCCTTGGAGCAGCTACTCAGATGTGCTCCACAAAGGTGGGCAGAAGGAAGCAATACGGAGGACGAAAACGGAGCCAGAAGAGACACAAGTGTGAGAGGCACAAATAGCTACACAATTTATGCCCTGGGAGGCTGACAGAACAGAGCAGTCACCCTGGGGAAGTAAGACAAGGAAGGGCAACACGCAGGGTGTGCTGGGGGGGCAGTGAATGCTGACCTGTCACATCTGTACATGCGGGGCATGTTGTGGGCAGAGGTTGACCAGTCACAACTGCACAAATAGGCTGTGCTGAGGGGGCAGATGCTGATCTGCCACACCTGCACATGTGGGGTGTGTTGTGAGGGGGCAGATGCTGATCTGCCACACCTGCACACGTGGGAGGATGCTGACCTGTCACACCTACACACACAAGGCATGTCATGGGGGTGAATGCTGACCTGTCACATCTGCACACACAGGGCGTGCTGTGGAGCAAATGCTAATCCGTCCACACCCACACACATGGGGAGTGTCACAGTGGTGAATGCTGACCCATCCATACCTGCACATGCAGGCCATGTCATGGGGTGGACACTGACCTGTCCATCCCCACACTCAAGGTCAGTAGTCAATTTGACAAGCTCAGCTCTCCAGAGTCACACGAGGCAGAAAGAAAACATGTGTGACAAATTTCACAAAACTGGAGGGAAAGAAATAGCCTTCAGACCTTGAGGTGGATCTTAGAAGAGGGAGTTCAAGTTGTGTGGATTTCAGGAGACCAATCGCCAGTTACACCCAGAAGAGATGTCTCCCCACATGAATTGTGACATTCCCAGTGGTGGAGCCAGTCACCAATTCATGGTATTTTAGATCCGCTTGCAGATTATTTGCAAAAGATGTTCCACGGCTTCAATTCTGACTTTAATGAGTCTCTGCACGGCAACTTCTGCCTCAAGATCAAAGTCACCCACAACAGGTGCACTCCTCACTGGCATGGCCGCATCTCCATCCCCAGGGCTTATGATGGTATCTTGGGAATGTCCTCGCCTCTCTGTGTCCATGAATCTCCTGCCATGCTCCGGTCACATCCCACATGCATGGGTCAGAATCTACTTCCGACATGCCCCATGTGTGCAGGTGTGGTGGGATCAGCATCTCAGCATCTTCCCCTCCCCCCATGCCTTGTATGTGCAAAGGTGGGGGGAGTAGTATCCACTCTACCAGACACTTCTCTGGAAAATAGTGACACCTGACCTTTCTTCTTGTCCAGCTCTGGGTCTCACATTCTTTTTCTTTCTTAAAAGGTTCACAAACTCTTCCTTTTGCTCCTTGGGGGCCTCTGCACCTTGTTCCTACTCCCACCCTTGAGACTGTCGGTGGGAGAGAGTGGGTGTCTGGCTTTGCTCCTCCTGCCTTGGGTTCCTGAGGGCTCTCTCAAGATCCTGAGGGTGCCGTGCACGCTGGGCTGCAACCTCTCAACCCCAGCCTGCTGCATGGCTGCTGCGGGGGCTTTCCCTGGACAGTTTTTCAATTTGGAAAACAGATGGAGGAAACACGAGTGAGCAGTGGTGATTAATATCTTTGCTCCAGCTTTATCATTTAAAGTCGCTAGTTCCAGGCCATCCTGGCCACTTGCCTGGAGGAGGAGGCAGGGAGAACTGGGCAATGGGAAAAGAGCAACTTCTTGGGGATGCAGGACATATAATGCCCAGGAAACAGCTTTCATAAGAGAAATATTTGTCTACTTGACACAAATATCTTTCTGTTCCCTATGAGAACGTCACCATAGCTTCATCCCAACATAACCAGCTTAGAAAGAGGTTTCACTCACAGCCAAGGGAGCCTCTCTCAGGTGGGGTCCCTGCATGAGCATGTCTCAGGGTATCAGCAGCATAGACAACTGTGTACAAAAGTACACACATGAAAACCAAGTGTATACCTCAGGGCGTATGTGAGAACCAACCAAGTACAACAGAGCATGAGTGAGAACCAATTGTATACAACAGTACATGAGTGAGAGCCAAGCATGCACAATGGGGCATGAGGAAGAGCCAACAGTATACAACAGCTCATGGGTGAGAACAAATGATGCACAATGGGGAGTGAGAGACAACTGTATACAACAGTACATGAGTGAGATCCAACTATGTACAATGAGGCGTGAGTAAGAGCCAACTGTATACAACAGCACATGAGTGAAAGCCAATCACACACAAGGCATGAGTGAGAGCCAACTGTATACAATAGCACATGGGTGAGAAAGTCAACCACACACAATAAGGCATGAGTGAGAGTCAACTGTATATAACAGCATGAGTGCAAGCCAACCATGCACAATAGGGCATAAGAAGAGCCAATGGTACACAACAGTGCATGAGAGAGAGCCAATCATGCACAACAGGGAATGTGAGCCAACTGTATACAACAGATCATGAGTAAGAGCCAACTGCATACAACAGTGCATAAGAGAGCCAATCATACACAATGGGACGTGAGAGACAGCCAACTGTGTACAACAGCAGGTGAATGAGGCTAACTGTAAACAGGGACATGTCAATGAGAACAGCATGTGAACAAGCCCAACGTATTTCTTATTAAACACATTAAGGACACAGTGAGCTATATTCACCAAAATAATTTATCTTCATAAGAACACAATTGCACTTTCTAGGTAAATAATTTATTTATCTAGTAATTTTATTTCAGAGATTTTCAACAGGGCTTTAAAAGATGAGCATTACTCCTTAGTTATCCCATTTTTGGTTTTATGGTTTCTGATGCTTCAATTAGGAAGCCAGAAAGATCAGTGTACTAGAAAACCATATCTTCTTGATATTCAAATTAGTTAAGTTTGATAGTATAAAGTTTCTTAGTTTACACTTGTTAAAATTGCCTGGGGTAGCTGGGCTCGGTGGCTCAGCCTGTAATCCCACGCCTTTGGGAGGCTGAGATGAGTG